GTGGCTGATCGTTATATTAAACTGATAGTTTTTTTCCTTCTTTGCCAGAACCAAACACTTATTCAATAAACAGAAACCATGCTACATTATATTCATCATTATAGAATATATAAATGCTTCCTCTTCACGTTTTTAAAAGGAGACCCATCCACATTCGAACAGTGAGTGATAAAATACATGTTTACTCAAGTTACTGCTAGCTTGATGGTTCCAAGGAGGTAGAATAGCAAATGACTAACAAAAGATTCCCAGTGCATGTGCTGCATTGATCTGATATTCTGAAAAAGTAGTTCTGATTAAATAATCAGTTAATCTTGCTCTCCACTTTTATTTGTCATTCATGCAGCTTTTTAATTTCCTACTTTAGGTCAAAAATATATGCGTATGTTAAGATAAAAATGGCATACTTGTCCTTTATCACAAAATAAATGTTCTTGATTGTAATCAATATGAAAGTGAACTAATAAATAAACTATTTATTTGTAGATCCAAACATAGATTCAACAAACAGAATATATGCTACTTTATAATGATTTTGAGTAATCATCTAACTCTCAATCACATCGTGATGTCTCACATCAACTGTGTTGATTACACTGTATTAAACTTATGTAAAGTTGTTTAACCACTTTTATTTAGAATCTCTTTTTTACTTTATATTCACACATTGAACCCTTCCCCGCGCAAAACTACGTCCATACTACTCGAGTATCACACACCACACACACACACACACACACCACACACACTACACACACCTCTCTCTCTACACACATCCATCTACCACACTAACATCCGCATCACATCACACATCCTACCACAACTATATATTACTATCTCCTCCCTTAACTATATCTTACCATATTACTACTCTATACACTATATCATAATGGCCTGGCGTCTCTCCTCCACTTCTACATCTCTCTCCTCTCTCTCTCATTCCTCTTCTCCTCTCCTGTGCTCCTTGTGTTCCGTTAGTGTGCTGCTGGTGCTGTGTGTGTTGTGCTCTCTTAGCTACTCTCTATAGAATCTCTATCTACTCCTCATCCTATTCATACCACTATTCTATCCTCTCCTCTCTATTTCTATCCTCTTACCTCTCGCATATATATGTGGTGTGCTCTCTGACTTTCTGTTTTGTTGCATCTCTCTACTACTCTCTCTCTTGCGGTGCGTCGTGGTGCTGTGGCTCTCTCTATACCTTACCCTCTACCTCCCTCCCATCCTCCCTCCTTCCCTACACCTCCTCACCTCCTTACCCTTACTCACTCCCTCCCTCGTCTCTCTCTTCACTCTCTCTCTCTCTCTTCGATCTCTTACTACTCGTTATTCTCCATATCTGCTGTCGGATGTGTCTCATGCTCTCACCTCCAGTTCCCTCCCTCGCGTGTCTCTCGCTGCTCGTGCCCTCTCTATCCCCCTTTTAGTGTGATGCAGTGAGAATCTAATTGTCTGTCCTCTGTGGTGGTGTGCCTGCGTTGTTTCGCACACACATGTGGTTGAATTATGCTATTTCTGTTTATTGGTTGGGTATATATATAATATATAATAATATATATATTAGTATATATAGTATATATTTACACATATCATACATATATATTTTTCTGAGAGGGATGGGAGGCTTCGGGAATCGGAATAATTGGGGGCTTATGCTTGATAATACTGGAGATAATTATGTTACTATAGTTATATTTCTAAAGTAAAATGGTAATAACTATTGAAATACAAATACTGAGAGACAAATGTATTAGTTATTCTCCCTTGACGAGGTGAGCGTCCGTTGTTCCATGCAACGTCTCGATTTCCTCCCGAACACTTTCCATTCCTTCGTAGTATAATCTGTTCGCAGTTGGAAGGTCCTATCATTAGCCGTTTCTCAAACATTGGCAATATTCACCCAAACATGTTTCATCAGGTTTGAGTCCCATGCCTTGCCAGGCCACCGAAGGACATTCGGGTGGTTTTATTCAAACAGCCACTTCGTAACTGCCCAAGACGTTTAAAAAGCGCAGTTATCCTGCGAATATATGATTGTTCCTGGGAAGGGCTAAGGCATACGAGCGTACTGATGGGTGGAACATTTTTCTAACCATTTCTATATATTAGCCTAGGAGGCATTTCCCCCAGTTTCGCCATTATGCAGGAAGATCACGTGGCCTCTCCTCACT